TGAGTCTGATAATTTTATTCTTTCCTTAAATGACTATTCTTGATCATTTTCTCAACTCTTACAATACAAACAACTTTGCCTGGGAAGGTGAGTTTCTACAGTTAATTTTAGTAAAGACATCCAATTAACATGACATGTGTCATGGCCCAAACACCACATCTTCCCACTTCAATCCCCCTGAAGTACCCAGACACTTGAACAATGAGGACCCACCTTTGCTTCTGTAGTAAGTCAAAGCCAACAACAAGCCAAGTGTCAGAAAGATGAATGTGAAAAGAAATGGATGGAGCATCCTTTGAACCAGATTATTAGCTTAAAAATCTTAGGTTAAGGCCTGTCTTGGTATCAATATCAACAAGCACATCATTTTAAGAAAATCAACTAGATAACACAGTATTTTTAAACTATAAGTAATTTTGGATTTAGCCCACTATGAAATAATTCAGAGGTAAGGTGACCAGCTCTATAATAGGTAAGATAATTCAATACTGGTACACATCTCCTTTGGTTAAAATGTCAGTTAAACATTACAGAAGTAGTTTAGGAAGGAAAGATTTCTTGGATAGTTGTTGTAAATTAATATAGACAAAGTCTGCCTAGATCCAAAAGTCACAATAAAGTGGTTAAAAGTAGTTCTCCTTATTTGAAAAAAAAAAACAAAAACAAAACAAAACAAAACACAAACCCCACACGATTCAAGGTGCAAACATCCCTTTCTTTGCCAAGGACCTCCTATCTATTACTTATAATCCAAAACTGAGTTGGCTTTGCACAAATTACAAGATCTCTTTGAACTTGTAATTTTCCTAAGTGATAAGTATCTGTCTGTACCTGTATTACATGTATGTTTGCACAGAGACATATTTACCTTTGCTTCTTAACATGCTGTTGTTGCTAAATTTCACTTACATGGCAAGTACTTAAAAACTGAATAATAATTCAATGTAGCTGGGTGTTATAAAAACAACCCTTTCTCTCAACTGCTGAAAAGCTTACATAGCAACTCCTCTGTAAGAGCAGGGAAAGCTGCCTTTCCATCAAAGGAGGCTTTCAGAAATGTCTGAGAAAGAATGATGTTTCCACATCAGTTCTTCTCCAACCACTTTGACTCTAAAAGTCAAGAAATAGATGAGGACACTGTGTAACCCTCTCCCCACAGTTTCTTGTCTATGAAGGCTCCACACTGGAGTAGAACATTTCCCTTTAGATTATTTTTCAGTGTATGTGCCCCCACGTCTATTTTGGCAGCATGATATGCAGACAGGTACCATCAATTTCTTTCATCAGAGTCAATCATCCCCTTTCAAAGTTCAGAGTACTTTTGTAGGTTCTAGCTGGGATTTCCACACACCAAATAGAAGACTTTGGTATTTCTTTGGGATACAGGAGAAACTTATCATTAACATAAGCTGGAGTACAAAGGAATGTTCAGGAAGACCATTAAAGTTTCAAAGCATGCCATACCAGGGAGCAAGAAAGTTAACAGTCAGAATATCCTGGGAAGTCCTTTGCTACACAACAGAAAAAAAAAAAGCAGTTTGTACATTAGAAAATAAACGAGTGCCTGAATTCACAATGCTCTCTCAGAACAGAGATTTATTTATGAAGAAACAAAAGTAAAACCGAGGATCAGCCTCTCCTATGTTAATCCTGACAATGCCCACTCTACAAGAGGGTGACCCTGTACTTACAAATCACACCTTCCCAGGATTGCTGGCTAACAAAGGCTGGCTTTACTTTTAACAAAAGTAGTGTCTCTCAAAGGCAGTCATGACAGAGGAAGTAAGCACGTTCCTATCTGAATGCAAGTCTCACAGGTCACTTCTCCCTTGCAAGTGGAGAAAGGAAAGGCCTCAGTAAACAGTATGAAGGTGAAGGAACACAGAGCCAAGAAAACAAGATACAATTCCTTGCATAAGAAAACGGAGTAAATCAATATTGCAAGAGGAAGTGCTTTACATATCAAGCTGACGGTTTGCTTTGAAAAACCTACAGGACTACATCCAGAACTTCAACACCTGAACCCCATGAGAAGCATGACTTACTTTTGCTTGAAAACCACACAAGAAGTTTAACTTTACACCACTGAATGAGTAAAAAATAGCAAAGATATCAGTGCCTTAAAAGCAATATAAAAAAAGTCTGTCTTCAAATAACATTTGAGTATTTCTCTATCCCTATAAAGATGTATTATCTCCTGTAAATAAAAACTGGTGATTTTACCATTTAGTTGGTATCAACTTCTCTTTTATTTCCCTATTCCACTTTAAGAGTACTAACAAAGTCTAGGAGCACAACAAAACTTATTAAAAATACAGCTTTATTTTTTTAACAATGAATATCAGGACCAAAGGCAACTTTTTTGCTCAGCTTACATTATAATCCTAGAACACATTTCAACTCGAGATATTTTTTTGCCAGCAGTTAAAAAAAAAACTTAACTACCAGCATTGTGACTGTTCAGAAGCATTAACATCATAAATCCTTTTTGACAGCTTTACAATTAAAATTTCAAAGATGGTGTGATGATACAGCTTTGTCCACTAGCTTCAAGCTTTCCCTTTGTTTTATACCAAGTTTCATACATTGGATAAAAGCAAAGATAGAAAAATAAGCTAATGGTTTATTTCATGTTATTGCTGATTGCTTCATAGTGCAGCAGTGCCATGTTTGCCATTACTAGATACCTCGTCAGTTAAGTCAAATATTAAAGGTGGTAACATTATTTCATAGTTACTTGTCCATTCTGCACCATTAAGGGCATTTCAGTTATTTAAAGAGCCAATCACAATGAAAAGTTATTCTTAAGAGTTACAATAAAATGTGCTTTATATTACTTTCTGAAAACAACACAGGTGTTACACTTACAATTGCCCCACCTCTCATTTTTATCAACTCTCCTATATATGCAAGGTTAATACACAGTGGTTTTAATCAGTTTGGTAGCATGATCAACATGAGGTTTCAAAAAACTGAAATTAATTTAATGTCAACTAAAGTATTTGTTGTTACTGCTGCACTTAACCAGGAGAATCACGACTATGATTTCTAGCTAGCTGAGGTTCAGTTTTGGTGCTCCCTAAAACCAGCTAAGGTTTGCTAATTGCAAGTAAATCACTGCAGCAAAACAAAGTTGCTGAACAAAGCTGAAAAGCAGCACTCATGGTAAACAGTATCCATCAGTTCACACCACAGATCAACTGCTGCAGCTTAACTATCTCTGCAGCAAGCTTATTAAGCTCTGTTACATTTGCCATGGGCTAGAACACAAGCTGCCACCACAGCCCAACTGGCCTGTATAATGCTTCTGCTTTTCAAAAACTTGATTCATTTTAGGAAACGCCATACACGACTTCCTGGTTGGCCTATTTTGGTCTGTTAATTGCAAACATAATTTGAATGATGGCCTTATATCCTCATGCATGACAATCATGGTAAAAAGCATGAGTTGTACTTATAGCAGATGATATTCACAGAACTGACAACTTGAAAAGTGGTGCACTTGAAAAAACTTCCCCCATTCCTGAGAATTAGAATAGGGCTGAAAACAGCTATGAACTGTACTGTTATTTTCTGAGTAAGTGTATTTCAATGTTACAATGCAGGCAAATATTTCACCCTATTTAATGATGACATTTGAATTTTTTTACTTGATACTTCTTAAAACATGCCAGTCTTTGTTACTGTTTTGAGACTTCTATGTAGCAATGAATTCTTCTTCATAGAAGCAGAATTAGAACCAAGCATCCAAAAGTAACTTCTCACCAAAGTAACTTTCCCAACTTGAAATCTTTTAACTTATATAAAAAAGTTATATATAAAAGGTGTATAAAATTCTAGCTATTAAGTTGTTTACAAATAATTCCACTGTCTCAAACTACTTAGAAGTTAAGGGGAAACTAGGTCATTAACTAGGCAGTTAATTAGAACTTAACTACAATGTAGGCCATTGTGGAAGCTAGTATGTCAGTGTGACTGCAACTCCATCATTTGTTTTAAAGATGCAGACAACTATCAAAAATGAATTCTGACAGACGTGGCTTCAAACATCCTGGACCTTCAGTTTTAGTTGCAAGTTCTCATTCTCACCTCCACTCTTAAGTGTTCATATTGAGTTTTAAGTTCTTACTAAGGAGTCATCTATGTTTGTATCCATGCCAGCGTGCACTCTGACACTTAATTCCCTTATCGAAACAGCAAATGTCAATAACTTATTGAAAAGATTTTAATTTTCATGTTTGTATTATCTTTCTTATAAAAATGACATTAACATTTATTGATCAAGCTACGTATTAGCTAATTTTCCTAATCCATTATGGAAACCTGGAGAGCTTTTTCACCCTTGTAGGGCACCATTCACATATACCATAAGTCATGCTGTTTTTTCACAAAGAAGGTGCCATAGTAAAACATTAATTACACTGTGTTAACAGATACAAGGTTGTGGGCTCCAACAGCAGTAATGCTAAACAGTCACACACCTCTGCTATATTACACTAAGTAGATCAGCAAGTTCTGCATGAGATACTTAACTTCATGATTACTGGATATCTGCATCCTGAGAAAATGAGATGAGTAACTGATGTGAAACACATTCAGAACATAACCCTAACTTCCTTAAAGAAGAGCACCTTTGGCTTTCCTAAATGTAGTTCATCACCTCCCAACAACATCTGTTTTTTCAATTTATTACAGACAAGGTGCTGTTTATTGCCATCAATATATCTTGTCAAACACAGGTTAACACTGTAAGAAACAAATCTCAGTTCACCTACCAAGAGAAAGTAATAATTTCAGAAGCACCTGAAGTTTAAGAATTTCTACTACATGTTTTTAATTATTAATTATCCCAAATTGTATTATAGCTCTTAAATCCATACTTCAAATAGGTTTTCACACAAAATGTGTAAATATTTCATGCATCAACTGGCTCTTCAGTTTGTTAATTCAATCACTGACCAAAACACAGTTAACACACTGTCTTTGCTGAGATGACTTACCTAATATGTAGACAGTCTTCTGATCGCTCCTCTGACCAAGTGAATTAGTCACCTTACAGATGTAAGTCCCAGTGTAGTTATAAGTCAATGGGCTGCTGAACTGCAGAGTATTGTTGACAGACAGCAATCCTTCAGGCCACTGTCCATCCAACCTAGAAAAACAGTTATATTTCAAATGTGAATCTTACAACTAGTTTAAATAGAACACTTTAAAACAATATTTGTAATAGTCGGTAAAGTGAACTTTTCACTGTGCTCTGACATTGTCAGTGGGCTTTTCTTGGACTTTCTCAGTGTACACCTGAACATTTATTTAGTTTTTAATTTCTGTGCCAAATCCTTTAAATGTCAAGTCTGCTGGCACTAGCAAGCTGTCTAAAAATGAAGACTACTACAGCTAAAAAACATCATCTCAAAAGAACTTGAAGGAACAAGCCAACTCAAGCTCTAAAAACTAACAGTCTAACTAAGAAGCACTTATACTGCTGTCAGGATTGTCTGCCTGTTCTTTTGCATCCAGTTGAGCTATCACAATAAATATTTCTGTCCATACATGCTTAATTTACAGGGCATTTTGACTAGAATTTCTGAGCAAGAGTTCAAGCAGTTTCCCCCTCTCTTGACCTGCTTTTTCTCATCCCCCATCACTTTTCCATCCAAATTACAGCACTGAAACAGAATGTGGAGAACATTTGGAGAAACAACTGGTTAAAAAAAAAAATTGTTTCTGGTCAACTGGCCTTTCCAACTCTATCATTTCCCTGTACCACTCTGCCTGAGATTGCAGTAACAACTGAGTAAACACGATGAGAAAGGGGAAAGGGCAAAAGCACTGAAACTATTTTAACAGAGCTGCCAACTGCCCATTAAACACCTGTGTATAATTTCATGCTGTTGCATCCCATGTTTTATCTAAGTATCTATTAACAGCTAACCAGGCCTAAATCAATATGCAAGCATGTGCTCACCAGATCACAGTACCTTGAAAGCATTTAGAAAGTGTGCTTTTATAAACAGCATTGAAAAAAAGTCACCCAACACCTTAAAATAAGTACTCAATTAAAAAAAACTAAACACCCCACAGTTAACAGCAAAAATGATCTCCAACATATGTAGGTTGAAGACAACATTCCTACTACTTTGCTGTGATTATTGCCCAGAACTGCCTCAGCCATATTAAAGCTGATAAAAGTGATCAAGCACATATTCCATAATTCATTAGTACCAGAAGTATTTATTTCCAGAAACATTATAAAACAGCCAATTTGTTTGCCAGGTCCATGCTAATAAAATTCTCATACATTCAACATTTTAAAATTATTGACAATGAAAATATCAGTATGCCAGCAAGTACAGTGTCATCTTTGATTCCAAGAGATACCATTTTTTGGTATGGTAGTTCTAGAAGCTACTATAATTTGACACCAGTAAGACAGCACACAATTGAACACAGCTACTTTTTGGTTCCTTAAATACTCAAGCTACCCTTTTCTTACATGGATTCCCCACACACACACACACTTGAAGCTCCTCATGCACCAATATTGCAGCCTCTTTGATAGGTTTTGTTTCTGCTCAAAAAGGTACCCTAGTTTTGCTCCAGAAAAATCAGCTTTTTTGTAAGAGTTGGTTCCATTTTAACCTTAGGAGATATAAAAGTCACCTCTGAAGTTTGAAGTGCTTTAAATGTATTTAAATATGTTTATTTCTTCTGGAATTTCAGACAGAGGCAGTATTGATTAGTTTTTACATATGTCTCAAAATCAAATGAGAGAACTGAGAACCCAGTGCATCTGAAGAAACAAGTGGTACTGCTGTTTAGTTGCAATCCTGGCAAGCTTTTCTGAACATAGGAATTTTTATGTGTTGAAATTTCTCATCACACTGATTTTGAGCTAAGCCTGGGATGGGGATGGCAGCCCACTGTAGCAGTAGGTAAAGTACACATTTTACTATAGTTAGTTTAGCATAGCCATGCCACCCTGAAAATTTCAGTGGCTGGTTTTAAGATCGAGTCAGTTACAGTAATGTTTTCTTTTCCTGCAATACTGACATCAAGCAACTCCAAACTTATCAATACAACATCTTCAATCCACGTCATGACTACTCTTCCTCTCCATTAAGTTATATCCACCATTGAGAAGGTAGGGAAATTGATTACAGCTTCAAATAAATAAATATTCCCAAATATTTACCAAGAGAAGCCACTATAACAGTTACACAAAAATTCACACTATCCTTGGGAAAGTTATTTCCTTTTCTACAGGCAGCAAGTAAAACTAAAAGGGCTGAGTTTATTTTTTTTTTCTTCACAGGAAAGACTTATCTGTGCTTGCTTTTATTGTCCTCCTTTGTCTCTTGCACAAAGTACAGCCATGGCTGCAAAAGCCAAGCAGTACACTTCAGAGTAGGGCCCAACTAATTCACATATTCATGAAGTGTGGCTGCTATGTTCAATTTTTTATTTTACTAGACACCTGTTCAAGACCTAGTTTCCATCACGATGGATTCATCTGACTTGGCAACTACTTGAGCACTTTGAAAAACATGACAAATTCTGTAATTCAGTAAGCCATCTCAACCGTAATTTTCAGATTTTAAAATGCAGATACAGAAAAGTCTGTTCCAGTGTTTACAATCTACTCTCAGTGATGATAAAACTGAACTAAAAAATAGTTGGATCCCTACTAGACTTACTGGTCTTTGTTCTACATGTTGCAGCATACACAGTTTAATCTACTTTGAGTAACTAAAGAGACTTTACCCTGAGAGTAATGACAAACTGTTCAGGCATATAAATTTACAAGATATCCACCCACCCATATTCATACATACACATATCTTGTATCCTCCTTTTAAAAGGCTGGATAAAATCATTACAACCCAATATAAGTCATATACTCTTTGTTTTCAAAACATGCATTTACTGTAAGCTAAGCAATTATACCACTTGAATCATGTGCCAAGTCCCTTTACATAAATATTTACCTGGTCCACATAAATTCCATAGGTAATGGATTTGCATCAGCATTACATTTGAGTTGAACGTTCCCTCTTCCAATGAACCAGTTTCCATCATAGCCAGTTACTGAAACTTCTGGGGCATCTGACAAAAAAAGATTCCATCTATCAATCACAATTTTTTTGTTAAGAGTGAATTATGTCTAATGGTCAGATCAGTGGAGCAGAAGGGGGCTTTTTTGGTTTTTTTTTTCTTTTTTTGGAGGGGAGGGAGGAAGTGGGATGTGTGCTTTCATTGTTGTTTGTCTGTTTTTAATTTAAAGACCACCAGCACCACCAAAATACAGAGAACACAATGCAGTTCCAAGCTACAGCATAATATGTAGCAATGAACAAGTTGTTTTAATCAGTGCAACTTTCCCCGTGTTTTCAGCAACCGTACAACACCTTGGGGAAGTGAGAGGACTTCAGAAGAAAAGAAGTTATTTCATTCTTTTGGGAAGTGAGGAACGGTAATTTAGAGCTACTTCTCACTAAAAAGATACAGCAAAGGGTCAGAAACAGCCTTTGGAAAAACCAGGTAATTAGGAAATCACCAAAAAGTTCACAGATGCCAGCTATAAAGATTAAGTTATCCACTGGCACCAATACATAAAATTATGTTTTTAAGGCTCTAAAAAGCAAGGCGGTGATGTCAGATAAGCCAGAGACACCCAGCTGAAATATTCAGAAGCCACAGAACAGACAGTATGATTTAGTATAAACTCCTACAGCAGTGAGGGAGAAGCAGTGGTAAAAGCTGTGTCAGGGAAGACTGAGGAACACACACTGCTGCTCACTTGCTGCTGTGTTACTATACAATTTTGTTAGAAAGTCTTAAACATGCCTTAACACTAATTTCAGATAAAAATATTTAAGATCAATTTGCATCCTCATTTCACTTTAAATATGAAACTTTATTCTCTTCTTCAGTGTTTGAGACAATGATGGGAAAAAAACCACCTTTTAGTTCTATTTCTGTATCAATGGCCCTTCAATCTAAAACTTCAAGACTGGTAAAATAAAGCCACACTAATCACTATTTTATGCCAAAATAAGTGATTCTTTACCAAACAGAATAAAAACAAACCCAAATTAGATTCTAGCCAAACCCAAATAGCAAGTCTACTTTTTCCAGCCACTACATTTCTTCTAATTGAACTGACAGACTTCTGTGATTTAGGAACTTTAAACCAGCACACAGCTGAGACAGGATAATAAAGGAACAACTTGAAAATAGTTGGGTTTGGTCACATATGCATTGTCTAACCAAAAAAAAAAAAAAAAAAAAAAAAGGGTCACATAACTAAAGTTCATCTTAACTGGTTTTAAGTAAGCAGCATTGTAAGCCATCTCACCACATATTTTCACGTGTTTTAAAGCCACACATTTGTTAAACAAGCCTGGTACACATTTGAATTATATGAGCAACTTGAAGCTGAATATCAAATGTTAAGAATGTATGTATTATGTTCTTGTTTCCTTATGTTAATTAGAGTGGACAAAGCTTAGTGATTAATCTGAAAATAACTTACTGACCATAAGGTCTACTTTCAACTTGTCATCTCAAACATGAATCTTTATTACAATTCTCTTTACTATTGCTGAAATTAAGACACTATAAAGAGCTTACAGATCAACTGAGTTTGTTATTTTGTCAGTAATTTTTGAATTTTATTTTTAAACATGAATAATAATGTTGACCCGTGATTCAATATCCAAAACAAACAACACAAACAAACATAACAGTGTTTTAGCTTCATGACCTTATTGGCAAAACAGAGACCCCAGGTTTCTACTCCTGCCTGACCTGCCTCAATCACAGCTTAGATTTCTGTAGAGTTTTCATTTCCTTCATTTTCCTGAAGCAGAAAGTGCTCATCTCCTTCCTGTGGAAGGTATACACCGATTAAGAGGGTGGTTGTAAGAGATATACCAAGCAGCATCTACCTTACAGAATACTTACACTGTATGTCCAACACATAAGGGTATCGGATCTCCTTTTCCAAAGCAGGGTGCCTCACAACACAAGTTATGTGTCTTCCTCTTGCAAACCGCGTGGGCATAATCACGTACTGGCTTACAACTGTCACTGTTTCATTTGGAAACGGAGTAGAGATGGGGGGGTTCTTATCACCAAAGTCTCCTTCCCAGTCAATCTGTGCAGCAGGTTTTCCAGTGGCTGCTGTACAAGTGGCTGCTATTGTCAAGTTTGCACCATCTATTAGAGGGTTTGGTCCTTTCGTTAAGCTCACAACAGGTTCAACTAGGGAGGGGAGAAAAAGTAAATTTAGACAAGAAAGACTCCACATCTTTGAAACTGTCACTGTGTAAGATTTAAACAAAATCTAATCCATTTGCAAAAGCCTAGGCTAATCAGATATCCCAGAAATAAGCTCAGAGGTGACAGCTTCATGAAGATTTTGCCTGCTGACACTATTCACCTTTGTCCGCTCATCCAAGTTCGGAGCTGTTCATTCACTACATTTAATGCACTGACAGGGAATTCCAGTGTGGATAGGTCCAAAACGCCAACTACAGTGCTCCAGTTGTAGTGTCTGACAACAGACAGCTTAAAATATTAAGTTGAAACTACAGTGCATTTTTTTTTTTCAAAAAGCTTAGATTCTGCTGCCTTTTCAAGCATTCAAGTATTAATCTATACTGCCAGTTTATGTCATTTCAAAGCTACCTCAGTGTTTTAACACCCAACATTAAGAGTTTAAGCTTTTGTTCATCAGGACAATATAAATGACTTCCATGCTGCAAAGGACATTCAACCTCCAAAAAAGCATTATTCTGTATACACACACCACACACTGAATATAGAATCTAATGTGTATGTGCAAATACATGTAATTTTATATAAAATTTATATGGTTTTGATACACAAAGAAATTGTTTTTAATTATTGATAAAATTCTGCCTATGAATATATTTTTGTGAATGAATCCCTATAAAAGTAAAAAATTTGAACTCAGTACTACACCCAAGACACATGGGAGGATGTTACCTCCTTGTAAAACCACTGCCCACCCCAAAATTTTGCAGATTTAGGCAACACACTTCACTATAACAGGAAGTTTAGTTCCTTATGTACAAGTCTACTGCCGAGGGCCACAGACTGAAAAGTTTTGAAAAATTTCCTTTTTCTTTTAACAGGGTTTTTTGTCAGCCCTGTACAAGCCATCCACCAGTTGCAGTCTAAGGCAGAAATACTATCTGGTCCTTCAGACACAAACCAAGGTTGTGCTTTTTTAGAATAGCCCATTTGTGTCACCAACATTGTAAGATACAGGTTTTGCAGTAGAGTAGCAGGCTATTACATAATGCTCGTCTCTTGCTCTTATCAGGCTGCTGGGAGTCCTCTAGGGCAGGTCATTCCTACACACCATAATTCTTCAGAATCCACCTCAGTGGACCAGCACTCACTAATCACAAAGCAAAGACAAGTCTTGCAACTTCTATGCCTTTCAGGACAAGAAGGAAAAATTTAGGTCATGGAATTTCTTTCCCAGAAGTTGAAGCTGAGCCACACACACAACTTGAAATGAAATAGAGCAGAGATCACCATATCTGGCAAGATACTTCTCCAACTACCTATACCTTCCAAAGATAACTGGGTATCAAATATTTTCTTTCATCTGGAGTGAATTCAGTGCCAGGATCAGTCTGTGACTGTTTTCTGCTCAATCTAACACTGCTCATGTCTGAAGAAAGTAGTTTATTATTTGCTCAATTACACTAAAGGGAAAGGCAGCTACTAAACGGATAACCTTATAAAAATGTCTTTTCTGTTCTATGATTGGAAGAACTTAAAGAACATAAATCACCGTGAAATTGAAGGTTTTTTGGGCCAACACTGAGAGCAAATTATTTTCTACTTTGTTTCTCTGAATGCTTACCCTCTGTGATTTGTTAGTGACCTTACTGTAAATAAACCAACAGCAGGGGTTTTATGCCAAGTTCTACACTCACTCTCCTATATCTGAAGCATCTCTAATGGAACTTCTTTCAAATCTGATTCCCTGCTCTCCAACACTAGCAATAACTAGAGCTTTCTGCAATAAGCCTGGAGCATTCTATCATCTGGAAAAAAAAACAACCCTTTAAAACCTAATATGGAGGACCTGACACTACACAGCTTTGTTATTTCACCCACAGTTTGGTTTCCATGCTTGTTCTCCCCAAATCACTAGCTGTAACTTTTTCAGTAGCTTCTGTAGTATTAATAAAGGCAGATGTAAACACTCAAATTTACATTTAGAATTTTATAAGCATAAAGATTTTAATTTTTGCTGTATCACTCCCTGCCTGAGATCTCTGTACAGTGAAATCAATTAAATAAGCAACTATCAGTAGCGTTTCATGCCAGCAATATAGAGTCAAAGAATTTCAGCTGGAAATAAAGTTTCATATATTCTATTCTTGTGACTAAAAAAAAAAAAGTACCTACCTGCAGAATTTTTCTTCCACCTCTTTGTAAAGGGACATATAAGTAAACAAGAACTCTTAACTAAGGTAGCAGAGATCTCCAGATTTAAAGCAGACTAGTCAGTTCTCTTCTTTTAGAAAAAGAAGTCTACAAGTATTAAGTGACAGTAGCCAGAGAGCAGGATACACTAATTAAAAAAGCCCACTTTCTGCTAAGATTATCATTATTAGGAAAAAAGACTATTTTCTCAAGTGGTACCAGAAATTTGTGACATAAGCCAGTTTGTGTCCATTGTGTAATACTTAGTTTTACACTTGTCAACAAGACACAAACTTGACCTACTCAAAACTACTCAACTCTGTAAAATACTTATTCCCAATCCAATGTGTTCCAGTGCTTTAGTTTTTTTTCTATATTTCACAAATGTTTAGGCTTCTACTGTCACATCTTCCCATAAATTATGATTCTTGGACTACACACCAACTACAAGATAACTAAATAGCCACATACTAAAAAGCAGAAAGCAACTGCAGCTAGGATCCTTATTTCTATAGTTTATTGTTCAGAATTATCATTTGTCCCAGCAACTGAAGCAAAACCAGCAGAAACCCAGCTAGTTATTTCACACGTTACATATATTCTACATGTATACATATCTCATATATATATATATTCTACAGCCTCTCTAGATGCTTCACTCATGGATTTAGAGAAGTATCCAGCAAATGAATCCATATAAGGGATTCATACAAGGGGCCATTGGCACCTCACCTCTCTCAATGGGAAACAGTTATACCACTTTCCATTTGGATAAAGGATTACCCAAAAGAAGGGGGTTGGAAGGGTTTTTTGTGGTAGTCTTTTTCTTACCTTTTTTTTGGAAAGTGTAACTTCTACATGCACCAACTCTTGCAGCAGTCCCCTTTTATCCCAGGAGCATTCAGTGTGCCACCTGAATCATACTGAAACATGTCCTACAGACTTTCATTGCTCACAGTGGTGGTGGTGGACACATGAAGGCAGCTGGGGAGCATTAGAGAAGCTGCTTCACCCATTCAGTAGAAACATTATGCTCTATTGAGGTCAAATGAAAAAGATGGTGAAATGCTTTGTTTGGGAAAGGAAGCCACCAATCCCACAGAGATCCAAAATCAGAACAGTCCTGCTTCCACAGTGTAAGAGTTCAAGGGCAGTGGTGGTTTCCTCCCTGACTTTAAATCATCAGCTGAGTAGATACACTGATTGAATGGACAGAGGTCACTGCCCACCGATCATTTCATTCATGTAAATTAGAAGAATAGTCACACAAATCTAAAGCAACATTATGGCATGAATTACATTTGTGCTATAAAGATATTTAAAGTCTCACCTAAATTGCACATACTGACTCATGACCATTACCTGATTCAACTCTACTTACTCTACCTTCACCTTATGTTCAACATGGACCTCTCACTGCTCAAGTCCTTCCACTTCATAGAAAACCAAGATAATAAAGCATTCAAACAAGAAAGAGCCTTAAATCCTATTGCATTAAGTTTCCAGGCCTCAAAGTTTCTTCTTGATTTTAAATATTTCATAAGCCTTTTTCAGCCTGTTTCTGTTAGTTTTAAAACTTTTCTTCTGCCACTGTGCACAGGAGGTCTGGACAAAATTGGAATGATTACAACACAAACAAAATTATTTCCTCTTGCCATTAAATTCACTAATTCCTTGGCAACAGCACGACACTGGGAATGTTCCTTCTTCATTGCAACTGACATTTACTTGAATAACTTCTTTCCAAAACAGTATTTCTAGCCTTTATTTTCTCTCCCCTCAAAACCAGCAGCTTTATATTTCTGTGTACCTTATCCTATTGGATAATTAATCCTTAATTATTGACTTTTAGGTTGTTTTGTTTTTGTGGTTTTGGGTTTTTTTTTGTTCGTTCATTTTAAGACCAGTCAGACCAGATAACTTTGTTATCTACTTGATACTTTTTCTTCACCCAGAATATCGTGTGGTACTTAATGTGTATATCTCAGGCACTTTTTAAACATCATTACTTTATTAGAAGTATCTGAGAGGATCCAGTTTCTATCCTGTCTGACACGCACCTTCTTCTGATTGCTAATTGTAAGAATTTCTACATGAGAGTGTCTGGGATCTATTCATGGTGACAGACACTCACCTGCACAGCTCATTGTTCACTTGCAGCATTGGTAAGAGCCAGGCTGCAGAAGAACAAGACCTCATTTATCGATATCTATGCTGAGAAATCTAACTTGGCAAGACAGCAGAGTCAAGCCAAACCAAGTATTTAAAACAGTCATGTACAGCACTCAAGTTGGCAACATAAAAATTATGTCAGCTGTGCAAGCTGACCTGTCACAATCAATCTCTTCTGCCTCAAGACACCAGTTTGGCCCATTTGGTCAGTGTCTTTTAAAAAACAGCATGCCACAAAACTATTCATGATTTTTTACTCTAGTTTAATGCAGTTAAGTTTGAAGAAACAACACTGTAAACAAGTTCAATATACCTGTTTGACCCTAAGAGCATTTTCATATTTTTACTGTCTTAACCTCTTGTTTTAAAATGCATTTTCTTTAAGACAGCATGGGGCACTAAACAAAGAAAACTGGGTGCAAGCAAGGTCACCAAACGTGGAAAGTTTGTTACACTTAAGAAGCATAAGAGAAGTTCTAAATATGGTGATCAGTACACTGTGGCAAAACAAAGGGCATTTTATCTTGTAGTTATTTTTTTCTTCTGTTTGTCTTCAGTGTCTCTGTCTTACAGTGTAGAAGCACCTACTACATGATGAAGTATGTCCACTACATATGGGAAGGAAACTAATTCTTTGCTAAAGAGGAGCAGATTAGGGACTAGGAAAAAAGGCAGTGCTGCTTGGATTGGAAACAGTTTCGGCCCTAGGAAAGGAACTTTTCTCTCCACACTTAAGGGAGAGTTTTTTAGACCAGTGGGAAAATGCAGTCAGACTAAAGCTGGATTTTAAAGTTACATCAACTTTTAAATTCCGATTACAGCCATTCCATGCCTCACGACTCTGCTGAGCTTGGAATTGCAGAGTTCAGGCCAGCAAAGCTCACAATTTATTCATTTACATGTATATTCTAAAAATCATTACTTCCCCAGTATTCTTACTCTTTAAGTCTACATTTCAGTGTAGTAAAAGGTTTCCAGAAGGACAGAAAATATGTAAGTTCTGTGGCCAGTGTAAGCCCAACCAAGGGTGGGCTTCCAAGCTGTACGTGCAAACCAAGCTGCTGCTAACTAGGATGGAAAGGCATGTTTGCAAATAATAGCTGGGTTTTGCAATTCAGAGGTTGATTTCGAGTCACTGAGAGCCTTAACAGCAATGGTAACCACCTGCACCAACTGTGAAAAACAACCTATGATCAGAAGCATTGTATGCCTGACAAATACTTTTCCTACACCATTACAACTGCATTTTTTTATAATATATATCTAATCAAGCAAATTGTGGTCCTTCCACATTTTCAAATGCAGAATAATAAATACATAGGACATACATTTGCTTTCCAAGTGTGTCCTCAGGTTCTCCATAAACCTGAAATTTCAAGGACAAAATGGACACAACTAGTAATGTGATCTGAAAAAAAAAATCTTGGGAACTGACTAGAAAAGATGAGGCAGAACAGTAAGAACCTCCCAGGCATATTGGTAAAGTACAATAGCTGAAACCTGAAGTCAAAAGACTGCTACAATAACCACAGTCATGGCCACCTGCAGTACATGGAAAAGAGAGCCATAAAACTACATGCTTTGTACATCACATAGAATTTTGGTCAAGTTACTTGTTTCAAATTGGGTTAAGCCAGTTGCTTTGATGTGTTTATTTTGCCCCACCTTGTGGTGAAAACCAGTTTACATACTGTGCAACAGCCATCTGATTAATCTCATTGAGTACTCTACTATCTGTTTACAAAACCAGTCACTGAGGACCACCTCAGCTGTAGAAAGTACCACTGACTACTTGCAGTAGATACAGAAGTACCTTTCTCTACTACAAGAAGGAATACTACTAAAAGGAGAGGGCAAGTCAGTAGTAGGTTTTCAAGTTTCAGGGTAATCATTTTACCTCGCACTGCTCTACCACCTAAGTCTCCCTGTGCTTCAGTAGTAATTCCTTATGACAGCAATACTCAACCCTCAACAACAGGGACTAAATTAGCCTAAGTGAAAACCCAAGTTTATGAAAGCTTTGCATTATGACCACCCACAACCAGTCAAGAGCTCAAGTTGCCTCTTTCGTCCCACAGCTCCCAGCAGTCAACTAGACAGTTTTGCTTTACGTTTATACTATGCAAAGAACAGTTTACATCACCAGCCCCAAGCAGCTACATTAAGTTACCATGTTAGCAACACATTTATAGAATAATTTGAGCTGGAGGGGACCTTTTAAAGGCCATCTAATCCAATCCCCCTTTACTTATATCAGGTTGCTAAGAGTCACATCCAACTCGACCTTGAATGTTTCCAGGCATGGAGCATCTGCCACCTCTCTTAGAACACTGACCTCATTACAGATGATGGATTATTTCACTGAGACAATTGGTCATCAGCAGGTTATAAACAATACCTTTTTTTTTCCTGAAAACTGGTGACTACTCACAGTACTATCTGAGGGAATTTATGAGGGAATTTACCCACTGTGGTAGCTAAAGCAGCATTCAGCAGCTTCTCAGCACACACACACAAGCCCATGGTATCAGCACTGCCCAGTCAAAGTTGTAAAGCCATTAAATGTTTGTATTGGTACAACACTTAAATAGGAACTGGTTATTTTATTTTCAATATCTAGACAATCAACGAGCAAGTTCTAAACAAGCAAGACCTAAAAGAAGGTTTCTCAATGACATTAGTAAGAACAAGAAGATACCTGTAATAAAAGACCAGCAAATACATATTTTGCATATTCTTTGTGTTAAAAGGTAAAATACAACTTATTAGTAAGTCTGCACAACTTCACCTTCTTTCATAAAGAAGTTGACTTACCCAGTACTGTTACAGTTGTTGATGACTGTGTATTTCCAAGTGGGAATGTAACTGCTTTGCAAATATATTCTCCTTCATCAGAAAAGCTTACATTTTTTAAAATGATTGTTGCATCAGTAAGCGAGTAGTTTTTAAATGTCACTCTTCCTTGGTATTCTCCTTGAATAGATATTCCATATTCAGGATGATGAACAGCAATAGTCTGTGAACTTTTACCATATATCTTCTCCCAAGAAACTTGTGTTATTGTTTCATTTACATCAATTATGCATTTCAGTGCAACCTTCTTCCCCCAAACTGCTGTCACATGTGGATCAACAACTGGTCCAGCTAAGGCACCTAAAAACAAAGCAATTGTTAGTTGGGACACAAGAAGATTATGTCTCTGAGCCTTCACATTAAAACTTCCTTTAGTAATTAGCTTGGCTTTTTAAAAGACAATTCCCACTTTCTTCTGAATAACTGATTCACAGCAGTGTAGAAACACCACAGAAGCATGCTTCAAGCAAAAACATCAAAGCTAGGCATAGACTGACCATTTTTTAGAGAATACTAGAGAATACTATCACCAGTACACAACTTCCTATAAAAACAACCTGACAATTGTGTAACTGGTGTAAGAGTCTTGTGGAAATTTCACTAGATATGAGCATTGTGTGTATTCAGATTCACTGAAAAAAGCAATAACCAAACAATGGTACTGTAGCAGTCTGCTTACTGATCCAGAGCATCAGGTAAAAACTGAAGTTAAATGACTGCACTTGTTTCTGTTTTCAAAAGATAGAACTCTTAATAAAGATTAATTCAAGAAAAATGAGAGAACAAGAGAACCCCTGTCAAACCCCCACAAACTACTCCACGTGATCACCAGTCTAAGAACTCAATTTTAACTTCCCTATCCTACTTCCTAACAAAGACATGTACCACCATACATATGCAATCTTTCTGCTATCCTGCAGTGTGGTGTCTTCACACTAGATCTTCCCTCACACAGCAAATACGCAAGAGTGGGCACAGTCAAGTGTTTGCGTGAGATTCAATGCATTTCCACTTAATACCTAAAATACCTTCCACAGAAGCAACTATGTTCTGAGCTCAGCACTTTACACCACGCTCCTTTCAAAAAGGGAAATCCATCAGGACAAAACAGTTCAATCAATCACTGGGTCGCAATTTCTTTTGCCAAACAGACGCTCCAGAAACTTCACCCTAGTTCTCCTGAAGCAAACTAACATGATGAAAAAGAACCAAAGTCTTGGTCCACACTACTTCTTTTTCCTGTGCTTAAGTTTTAATAGAGCCATTGCAGATGCTCCAATTCTCTCTCCAGTTACCGAATCAGTACTCAGGCTGTTACTGAGGATGTTCACCCATGGAACAGGATTTAAGTCTAAATTTTAGTAGTCTCATTTTCATAGGCATGAAGGAGTCATTCAACCTGAGATATGAACCACCTTTTCATCCACCAAGTTCACACAAAAGACAAGCCATGTGTTCAGGACAGAAGTCTCTATGTGCCTTTATGTACAAGTCCATTGTTAAAAGATTTCCATTTCCCATCAATTGATTTTTCATTGTTCAAACCATAACTGAGTCCACGAAGACACCCAAAAAAGTGACTTCAAGAGTCAGCTACCAATTCCTTCAGTATAAAACTACTGACTAACATCAACAGGATGAACACCTTAATCTGCACAAATAAAAAACTAAGCCAAAACTTTAGACCAAGATTGTTGACATGCCAGTCACTAAGGGCTGGTGATGGGACAAAAATTAGCTCGAAAACCCAAAAAAAATCTGAATGCATTTCACATAGAGAGTATCTGCCATGACTAATTCACAAGTAATGCAAGCATATTTTGTCTAGTCTTCTCATGCCTCTTAACTAACATTGTTGTGTCAGACACTGAAGAGAGGGCAACTATTTGCACACTAAGTGAAATGCACAGAAATCTGCCCAAATTTTGTCTCCACTTGCCACTGCTACAGTTAAGCATAAGGTGAAGTGGTTCTTTAAAAGTATTTGACTATTGTTTTCTACATTATTTATAAGGTTCACAAGTTACATTTCAGCAATGTATTCCAGAATGTACAGGATATATCTATTCTGTCATGTCATTTATGTAAAGAAAAACACATTTGCGTTCAGAAATCAGCATTTTGCAATATTTAAATCTAGTCAATCTGAACCTGTACTAAACTTCAGCACAACGATGTTGGAGTATGTAACTCCAACAAACTTAGCATAGAAAAGCCCTACAAGTGGATTTACAAAAACTGCTCAGACTTCTGGGAAGGTAACAAAGCAAACTGGAAAGACATCCCAGTTAGCTGACCACACAAGCTCTTTTGTTTCCTTTTTTTTTTTTTTTGGACAATTCTACTCACAGTAATTGGAGGCTTTAGCTACATAAAAAGATGACCAGGGTACATTTAAAAAGTCAATACTCAACAATTTTTCCACCAAGGAATTCTTCTAACAGCTCGTTTGTGCTATGAGAACATTGTATTCTCACACAAATTGCATGAATATTTTCAGAAGTCAAACTTTTTTGTTGCTGCTCCTACTTTCAAGATTTACAGATTGAAACGAGCAACATAAATACACATTTATATACATAAACACACTTGCAGCTATAGAATGTAGATCAGTTACATCTTTTTCATTCACCTTCAACAGCAAAGGAAGTAAAGCCAATAGATCACTACTCCAAATTTTATGCATTTATCTTCTGACAGATGTTCAGACTCTGAAGACACAAAAAAAAAAATAAATCAAACTTATCTATGCAAATCATTTAAACTGAACTTACATATAGTGTATATAACAGTACATAGACTCCAAAATGTTTTGAGTTTTAGGGAGACCACACTGATGCTTTCTATCCACTGACTTCCCACAGGCTATTTCCACAAGACAATAAAGCCAAACTGCAGAAGAGCAGAAAACTGAAGTTTTCCCCTCTATCAGCAAGTTATTCAGTTCACATCTGGCCTTAGCACACACTAATGGCAGGGAACTAAGAAGAGTTCCAATCAAGAATGGAGCAGAACAACAAGAACATCCCATTTTGGTGACAGCAAGTTGCTACGTCAGCAGAACTTCCCATGAAAAACCCTTAAGGTCAGGTTAAACATTACTGTTAGGTCAGTCTAATTTCAAATTACATCAGAAAGCTTAGACTTATTCTTCCAGTCCTCCTCCTCCTGTGTCAGCACTCACCAGGCACCCAAGAGACCCCAACCTACAAAAACTCACTTGTTCTCTTCCCCATTTAACCTTCTGAATGAGCTCTGTCGATCACAAGCAGCAATGCAACAGAGGAACGAGCACAGTCACACAGTCCAGTGGTATTTTCAGATGTATTTAGCTGGAAAAGCAAAGCACTTAAGGACACTGCAGAAAACAAGCCTGAACTTGAGGCTTTATAAAAATATATGGTTAAATGACTGGGAAGAAGTCAGTGTGTGTGTCTTTTGAGTACCAGGGCATGGTCAAATTCCTGTGTCAAAAAAAGATCAGAACCAAGGAATAGAAGAAATTCAAGATTAAGTAGTACAAAATGCCTCAACACTAGCTTTCAATTAGAACTGTTAAGCAAGCACTTAGCACTTACATCAAAGAGATAGTATTATAACCTAGCATTCCTCCTGCCTAAGGATCTGATTTATCACAATCCTTACTTGGAGTTCTAGTTCATCAATCAATTTTTTGGGGGAAAGTGAGCTTCTAAAAAAACATTTTTTTGTACTTTTTTTTTGTACAATACTTGCATTATTTTTTTAAAGAAGAAAACTGGAGGTATATTATGTCCATCTCAGAGAGCAATTCTTAAAACCTTATTCAGTGTTTATCATAGTAATATAACAGGCATGCAAAAGCCTGCCAGAATGCAAAAAGTTTTGGTGAAATGAGGCGCAGCAATTCAATAGTCTGAAGCCGAGACTATTGAAATCCTCGGGCTTTCTCTCAATCAAAAGTTAACTGTTGCTGAAACAGGGCTTTTACTCAAAACCCCAAGCTCAAGACAGACAAATTCTCAGTTAAGTGTTGTCACTGGATGTTCTGCACAATTTTTAAGTACTCTGAACCTCCACCTGCTGCTCCTAAGGGTACAGATGATGACCATTCACACCATTCTAACAAGAGGCTTGTGTTACTCTGCTCCTTCATTCCCCACAGCTGATGGAAGGGATGGTCAGTTATCTTCCAGTTGTTGAATCAACATGTTAATCTACAGAGAGACACCAAGCAGTAGTAATATTTGTGAGGAAGGCTACAGTTGCCATTCATAAGACATCATCCAGAGCCCACAGAGAGGATTCACACTGCCTGTTAGAAGGCAACACAAGGCAACACTGGACAAATAACTCTCATCCTAACACAAATGAGTCAAGATGACAAAGTATGCAAACCTCTACAGCACCACAATGAACAATTATCAGCAAGACTCACATTTTCACCATGTAAAACAACAAAACAGAAGTAAAAAAGGTATTTTACTCCAGTGCAACACAAAGTTGTAACAAGTAGTTACAACTCGGGGTTTAACACTAACACAGCTTGGGCCCAACTCATGAGTTGGAGCTTCGAAGCAGCTCTGCCTTTGAAGTCAGGCTGGCTGTTACCCACTATTCTTATTTCACAATGTCATTTTCACATGTTAACTGATGCCTCTGTTCTAGTTTCAGTAACTCCACAGAAGACAGTGACTGTGCCCCTGCATACTCTGCTTCCTACCATGCTGCACAGACCTTTAGTATCAAGCAGCAGGAAATGAAATACAATCTCAGACACTAGAGGAATTTAAAAAGGAATATTAAGCTCATTTTTCAAATTCAGTTGGGAGGGACACTCTTAGAAAACCAATTTTATAAGGTTAAAGTTTTAAATCTAACTACTCACCAAGAATGTTTACAAAGTTCTGTGAACTTTAAAACTTCATTTGGCATTTCAATTTAAACCATATTAACATCAATGTCCATTTTATATGTTCTTACATTATAAACTTAGATATATATTAACACACAGTGAATTAAGACATTCATGTTTATCCTGATACTAAGCTTTCAGATGTTTACAAAGACATGCTGAACTAATAAGTGAGGCATGCTATGAGGCAGCTGGACGTTCTTCCGCAATGAATATTTCCAACTCTGTTCAACCAAATCTTCCAATCCCACCTCCTTTAAAAGGAAATATGCAAGACAACGAGGTACTCTTTTTCCAACAGGCCAGGCACAAAAGCAGGACTGGAGGAGAACATCTCATTCTTAGTCCCACTCCCTTAAAAAACTAGTAGTAAGAGTAAACAAGTAGTTCCAAAGTTATCCATAAA